CACAAGAACGTCGAATCTGAATCACTTGAAAAAAACACGGGGGTGCTTAACTTTTTTCCAGGTGTATATGTAATATTAAATGTTTCATAACTTTTAACCAAAACATTTGGTTATAATCTCATCTTCAGAATACAATTACTAGACCATCTTTAATTTATTCCCTTTAAGTATCTTATTCTTATGTTCCCATTGTTAAGTACCATACACTTACTGTAACTTTATATTCTTCTTATAAGCATTGGATATTTAGTTTTTAAAATGTTATACAATCCTCGGGCTCACTTTACTAACATAGCCATTTTAGCTTAGAAATTACTATTTTCTCTCATTTCTCTAATTTTTTTAAATAATAAATCATGTATGGTTTCAAAGTGAATTAGGGTAAAGAAATGTGAAACAGTACTTTAAAAACGTTACTAAAAATATGTGTTTAAGTGATCACTATAAATCTTCTTAAAACATCTTCCCTGTCTAGCAGTTACTTGTTTTAATTCATCATACTGTTTTTTTTATATGCTTTTATAGGAACTGTGGTAGTACTAAAAAACCCATGCATGCATCCTGGTGATGTCAGAAAGTTTGAGGCCGTTGACATACCACAGTTACATCATCTCGTTGATTGCGTTGTGTTTCCAGCAAAAGGCCACAGACCACATCCAGATGAGATGTCAGGTAAGGATTTGATTCTAACAAGAGGCAGGTAGGTACAAAGTAGTCAACAGTAGATTTAAGTTTCTTTCATAACATATCAGTGGAAAGATACCTGCAAAAAGTTGTACTCTAGTTGCAGTAAGGAAAATACTGTGTTTTATAACAGGATATAATTAATTATCACAAAGGTCAGTGGCAAAAGCTATCTACATGTCCCAAGCAACATAATCAAGGAAAAACTTCATCTGCAAAAGCAAAACAAGTCATATGTACACAAGTTATTTCCTTGACATATGTATTTACTAGTCACATACTTCAGATGGCCGGAGAATGAAAGGGTATTCATGCTATCCAGTAGGAAGACATAATAATCAAGTCACTAGGTGCAGAATCTGTGAAGTTTTGTGTGATTGGGCTGTTTAAACAGTTGCTAGGAAATGGCCATACTCATAGATTAGGTGAATTATGGAAAGCAAGGAGAGCGAAGCAGTGTGCTTTGAACATGACAGCTTTGTGACAGAGTTTTTTGCAAAAGAAACTGTACTGGAAAGCTATTAGTAAGATGCAAGATCATTAGGGAGAGCATGACTGGACATGATAAATCCCCAAAATCACTTTAATGTAATGTACTCAATCTCTGTGTGTGTAAAACTTGTTGTATCCAGATGATGTTTTTTTTAATAAAGAATTTCTGCTAAACATCTTGGAATTTTCAAAGCCTTTAATGAGTCATCTAAGTGCAATGTAATTTTCATACTAGTAATACAAATGCATATTTTTATCTTAAAGTTTTCATAATTATTTTGCATTACCTATGGATCCTCATCATTAAGTATCAGATATTTCTTTTGGTAAAGTTTTATATTTTATCTATTATTCTCTTTACCTTAACACTAACTGTAGTGAAATCATTAATGTACAGTAAAATTAAAAGTTAAAAAATATAAAATGAATAATACTATTTTTTTCTAGAACGGCATCAAATTGTAAAAGTTAATCACAATTATTTATCCTAACAGCTTCAGCTTTTAATCTTTTCATCAGCTTTTTTTTCATCCTTTTATTTTATTATGATAATTTTGAACCTTCACTGTGCAAGAAAATCAATAAGTCACAGCTAGATGTTTCAAGTAGAACTTAAGATGAACAAACAATTAGGTTATGGCAACAGACATACTGTAAGCTTGATTTATTTATGGATTAACCGAGGTCATGAAGTATAAAAATATAACTTAGGAATGTGTAGTCGACAAGGAGCTTAAAAGTAACACACCTGCAAAACTAAGAAAACCAAATAAAGTACAAAACCACTAAAGTGACTGATAGTGATAAAATATGTAACAGGCAGTGCTCATAGTGAGTTTCCACTATACTGCTGATTACATCAAATTTATTTAGTTGAGAATTGCAGTGACAAGTAGAGCTCATAAGTCGCTAACTCGAGGTAATTTACTGTTAGAATAACAATATGGATTCCAAGACTGACATTGAACAAAATACATCAACATTTATTAGGTATGTATTTTTAACATCAATGGTTAAACATTTATTAAACCAATAGTTTCTCACAATTCTACTTTTCACTTTTCAGTTAACACTATAATCCAATATGTATAGAAATTTCTCTCTATTATAAGCATTAACTTCCTTTAGTAAACTACATTAATTGAACAAGAGAGATTGCAATTCTATACTTACAACAAGGTTGGACTGGTATACTTCTGCAGGTTGGAAATCTTCATATTCATGGCTGCTTGGAGAATTCTGGCCTGGAACTATTATCAGCTCTTTGGAAAACCTTAATTCTTCCTGGAGAACTCTGATTTTTAGCTCCAGACACCAGTTTTTATACTATAATTTCCCTGTATTCTTTCAACCTTCCAAATAGTATTCATAACTACCAGCAACTTGTTCTAACACTTTATTGGTCAATCTATGCAACTTCCCAGGCTAATCCAAAATAAGAACCAAAACTCACAAGTAATTGGTGAGTGCTCCGGTTGCCTTTTTTACTTGTACTACTACACTGGTATGGGATAACACATCTCACATCAAAGCACCGATTTGAGATGCTATCATAAACTTTTTAGTAGGCTTTACAGTGCTACTAACTCAGCGTCAGTAACTTATCACTGTCAAACTCATGACTAGCATTTTTCTCAGTGTCGTTGCTGTAGGTTCATTTTTTATAACCCTTAACTCGTGATTCTCAATACTAACTAACCTGTTAACTGGGCTTTGCCTAGTTTAGTTCTTGACCTAATTTCGTAATACAGGTGTCCTTACTTACGCCATTTCTACATTTATGTGTATCACACTCAGAATACTTAAATCTCTGTAGCTTCGTTCTTAACTCTTAAACATTAAAAAACTAAAGCAATTGTATAATTCCTTCAAAAATATCCAATTGCTTCAGATAAACAACCCTTAAACACAGATCTTATAAGTTGACTTAAAGAAACTATAAGACAAAGGACACAAAAAAATTGACCCTAAAGAACATGAAAATAAATGGTGCCTAGGTTTATTTACCTAGGCACCATAAATAAAGTGTGTGAATCACTGTGAATTATAGCGTGTGTTTATAAAAG